CGCGCGCGCGCGCCGCCCGGCCGCCATGACACTTTCGCTGCGCGGCGGTCGGGACGCACGTCGTCGCGCGAACGCTCCCGCGGTTAATCGCAGATTTTGCTTATTCGGAGTGAGTGACAAACGCAAATTCTCGTCGGGAGTGCCGATTGAAGTGACGGGCGATTGCCGGAGCATATCGTTTACCGCGGATTTTCCCGACCGACGCCGCATCGATGTTTCGCAATCGACTTCGCCTCACCTCGCTGTGCTTCGGAACGGATACAGTCTCGCTACTCCCGCTGCGAGTACAAATCCCCGACATATACCGCGAGAATAATCATCGCGAGTGCCTTCGAGAGGCTCGAAGCGCGTACGGCGAGCTTTTCGCTGGACGTAGCACGCCGAAATCAGTCGTTTTTGATTACACAATTAATTGCCGCGCCTTGAATTAAAAGTGACTTATTCGTCACTCTTGTCGCGACGTAAAAAAGGCTTCCAAGACGCCACGATACTTCGCGAAGGCGCGTTCGTGGGAAAATTCCGCGCGTGTATGCTTGACAGAGGAGAGAGAATTAAAGATCGATGTGCATAAAATATTCGTCGTGATAATATAGGTAGCACGATTGTACGTAGCTACGAGTTAATTCTTCGTCAGGAAACGAGCCGTAAACGTACATAATAAACAAAGCCGTTCCGGGAATCCACGCCTACGGCGTCTTGGCGCCTAGCGTCGACATCGTAAACAAGCGAGCTCGCCTTCCCCCCCCCCTCCCCTCACCTGTACGCGCGTCATGGTATTTTTCGAAATAACTTATTTACGCGCAGAGTCGTTCCGGCTGTCGCGAGGATCGGTTCGTGCTCCTCTCCGCGCTCTCGTTGCTCGCGTTTCCGCGCGTGATTGATCGATCGGTTTGGTGTCGTGCATCGAAATCCGCTTGCTAATAATCGGCGACGATAATCGTTGTGTGATATTCGCCGGCATTGCATTCGACGGAGACTCTCGATTGAACGACGCGACACACGCGACCGTATTTAATTCGCGTATTTAAGTTTCATAGGCCATTCATGGACCCATCGCAAAATTGATTAATTTCTAATTAAGATTATAGAAATTATTTTCTATCCTCAATATTTCTTGATTTTATTTCTGTAACGTAATACAATTTATTTCCAAAATTCGAATTTTTTAATAATAAATTAAATCTCCTTACAATAAACTGCATTAAACGTGGATCAATTTGGCATAAAATCAATTTCAACAGCCTATGAAGGTTAATACGAATCGAATTTGTTGGTTTCGCACAATCTCCAAGTTTCGGTCGCACGATTCATGGAGCGAACGCGGTTTTGTCTTCCGCGATGATTTCCGGATCCGCGATCCTTCGGACAAAGCAAAGTGCGACTGACTTCCAAAATTTCCGTTCGGCAGTGACAAAGTGCCCGTTTCCGATGTACATCGTTTCCTCGATCCTGGAGTGATGCCTTTCTACTGGAGGAACTTGCAGGCATCGGAGCAACCGGCGGAGCAGACTGCAATACCCTGGCTGGTGAGTGAAATTAATTATTTATTTGTTATTTAATCTTCCCACGGATACCGGCACGTGTATGTTTTATTCACCGCAGTATTTTTTATTCTTTCCATTCTTTTTCTTTTTATTTAACCCTACTTTACTTATACTCGCGTGGTCTTTTTTAACGTAATTACCCGCGTAGAGTGTATTTTACACTCCAATATTATATCTCATTATTTTCATTACTCTTTTTGATCATTTACAATTAGATGAAGGTTGATGATAGTATCTATACATCTTTTAAATAAAGATAAATGCAAAAATTGTTTAATTGTGAAACAATTTGTGCAACATTTGATCGATAAAAACGTTTTACTCTGTGAATTTAGTAAATTTCTAAGGCTGTATTTTACACTCCCGCGCGAGTCACGTAAAGTTAATTAATTGCTATTAAATTGAATAAAAATGTATTTGAACAAAAAAGATTACTTCTAAAGGCGATTTAATTAAGAAAATTTTTTTATGTTCTTTAAAAATTTCTCCCTGAAGAAGTTAAATATCTGCTGTGATATTACACGTGCCTGTAACTGTGTAGTTCTTTATTAAGTATTAATTAAAGCGTTTAAAAATAATTATCGTAAAGGATACTTCTCATATCCGCATTTATTAAAAGTATCTATTATTCTTATAAATATTTGAACAATATTCGATTGTGACAGTAACGGGCTAATGAAGTTGATGGTACATAATTAAATTTCTAAACTCATTCCGAATATTTTATTATGTAGTATTCTAGTCAATTTTCCTGGGTATCAAAAAGTACTTATCGATCTTTAATTTGAAATTCTTTGTAAATATCTTCACCCATTGAACTTTGTGACGGTTTAATACGCGGGCGAAAAATATCGCGGAGTAACAGAAGTGAAAAATAATTATATAATCGAAACATTTAATTAAACAATATGTTTGAATGTTTGTTTATATAATTTATTCTACATATAGTTGGATTTTAACCAACACGGAAATAATTAAATAACACGCGGTAATTAAAATACGTAAAATACACGATAAAATAATAATTATAATGTATTTATTTTTCCAGGTATAGTCGAGGACGTACTTAGCTAGGGTACAACGACTGGTGAGTAAACTTGTTTATCATGTTTGCAAATATACAATTCTGATATCCGTTATCCTTTTATTCGCCTGTTTATCAATTATTAAATATCGCGCTTATCTTCGTGTTTAGGATTTCTGCGAATAAATAACAAGATACCAAATTACTTTCTTCCTATATCAACGGCAAAAGATAATTAAAATATGCGATAATAATGAGCAGTGATCGCGATTATTTTCTATACTAGCCATTTATTCGATCATTGTCTATTCTCGTTCTGTCGATAAAATCGCAGTAATTATCGTCACCGTCATAAAAATTATTTACTTTCACATTCGAGCTTCTCAGAAATCAAATTGATCAATTCCACATTTTGTAACTTTTTTAAATTCTAGTATCAAAGCACATTTAGAACTTTATCGATTTTTTTTTACTTCATGGAGTTGATCTGCCTGGCTTTTGTGAGATTCACTTAATACCGAAATCCTAGGCATGAAAATAGGCCACTAGTTATAAATCAAATCGTGATAGATATTTTCTTTCACTTCTCTGTGTTATTATCAATTATGAAAAAAATGATAGCGTTATAAAATTACGCATGTTTTACATTGAAACGAGACGTAGATTATTTCATTCGAAGTAGGTAGTTTTAAGAAGACACTTATGAATTCGGTCTGATCAAGAGATATCGAAACTCGACATCCGTTAGCGTTACACAAAAATAAAATCGTGACGGTCGACGTCGGCAGAGACAGGAACAGAGAGAGAGAGAGAGAGGGAGAGAGAGGGCTTTTTCGCGCGAGCGGCGCTTTCTTCGGGTTGGCAATCCTTCACAGTTAACGCCCCTAATCGTATTCATTAAAGTGCTCTCAATGCTTTTACACGGCTCTCAAGCTCCCGCCACCACTTTCTCGCTCCCGCTTCTCGCAAACGCTTCTTCCTCGCCCGCCCCCCTCCTCCCCCTTCGCGTCGTGGTCCTTCCGCCTTAGCGCCTCCGCTTTCAGCGCTCAAGATTTCGAGCGGATTCCCTCTCGCACTCTTCTCTCTTCCTCTCTTCCTTTCTTCCTCTCCCTGTAGGTTAAATAAAACCTATCTCTCTCCATCTCTATTTTTCTTCTTTATCTATTACGCTCTCTTCGTCGTTCTCCATCCTGTTTTCTTTTCTCTCTCTCTCTCTCTCTCTCTCTCTCTCTCTCTCTCGTTTTCCCGGCCCGGTCGTCGAGAGAGCTTTTAAGTTAGCAACAATGCGCGGATTTATAAACCAGCGGCAGCGGGCATTGTTATCGGCGAGTGATTGGAAGCCGTCGTTTCGACACCGGTCGAATACCAACCATCGGTTGCCCGGGCCATTGTTGACCTCTTTATCTTGGAAATTCGTGGGTGCTACGGTCTCTACCTTCTACGTACCGCTTGCCCGCCCGCCCGTCCGTCCGTCCATCCGTACGTAGTACTTACGTACGTTCGTCCGTCCATCCGTCCAGGGACTCGCTAAATCACTCGGGTTTTATTGATGGACCGCGGGGCAGAAAGGCGCGCGCCCGAACGGGCCGGTGCCTCGGTATCACGGCTCGTGATAAACGGCCCATTGTGGACCGCCTTTTCTTCATGGCTCCTTAGTGTGTCGCGCGTGCGGTACTTTCGACCGTTTCCCATTTGAGCGCCGGATCGGATTTACTCGTTTCTTCGGCCGCCGAATGACAGGACCGCGTCGAGGCATGTCCGAATTGATGTGGCACAAATGTGGCAGCGGTGATGTCCGATCGAAATCTTGCGAAACGGAGAGACAATTAATATTTATACTTCTAGATATATAAAGATTGTGGGGATAAAAGTAAATAGTTATTGAGAAAAGTATGAGAAGATGTGACATTTTTTAAATTAATGCATCACGCAAGAAAGCTTGTTTGAGATTATTTTAAATTAATTCATGTCGATTTGGCGTAAAATAACAAATAACGGTGTCGTAAGTTAACAACGAAGAGTACTGATCGGTCGTCAGCTTCACTTGTTTCTACCGCAAAAGTCTCAATCTTTGCTAAATATAAATAGAAATATTCAATAAAAATTATTCGCCAGTGATGAAATAATAATTCATATAAATAGAAAATTGAGAAATAATCCTGTACACGAAGTATAGTTTCGAATAACAGTATTTTTCGGGTCCGTTTCAAGCGAAGAACTGCCACTTTTCGGACAAAAGCTGTACTGACTGTAAAGAGCACCTATATTTCTCACCGATAGTGCAGCTTTTGTCCGAGGAACATGGCTTCCTCACTCGAAAACGATCCAAAAAAAGCGTCGTTGATCAACACCGTCTCGCGTACGAAACCCCTTTCCCGCGGCTAAAGGGTTAAAGCCGGACCCGATTTGCTCGCCCTGACGAAGGAAGCGTGACCGCTGTCCGGAATACATATGTAGATGGGATTTCAAGTCCGCATTTAACCGCCTTACATCGGCGTAAACGCTCGCCGTGTCGCGTTCTCACCCTATAACGTCTGTGTTTCACGTTTTCTGCGCCACGGCCGTCGGTGTAGCTTTAATGCGGAGCACGTGGATGCGCGTCGATCTCGCCGAATTATACGCGTCGGTGACACTCGTCGGTACAATGGGATACCCGGGGTGAATCGCGCACGTTTCTACCCCCTCGGCTCGCAAGCTGACTTTCCCATGATGTGCCCGTAATCAGATCATCTCTATCCTACACACCCTACCAATACCGTACATCGCGTTGTGCCGTACCATACCCTATACCCTGTCCCACCCTGCCTACCCTACCACATTATGCCGTCAGTCTCTCTCTTCTATCGGCTATGTCACACACGTCCGCACACGCGTACAATCTGCTCCGTAATCCCGAATTTTCTAACTAACTGGTTTTTTACGCGTCGCTCAGCTGAATAATCAATCTCACGATTAGTCCTTGCTACTGGGGTAACGGCGAATATATAATGGCGAATACATTGTATATTATCGTGTGCTTTGTACCGCGTGTCCCTGGTACTTTTTTTTTTACAATGCCTTTTTACAATACCTGACTTCTCTAAATCAAAACGCGAGAATTTGCAGAGATGATGAACATAGATTTTAGACATTAGTGTAACAAGGATTGATTTTAATTTATCCGACTTTTAATTTATTCTTAGTAATTATATAATTAAGTAATTCATAGTAATTAATTTTCATTAAAAATCAGTGACGCTCTACTTTTAGTTTTAATACTTTTAACCTATACATGAACCGCAAAAACTCCCCGTCTGTCATTGTTGTAATCCACGAGCAGCATTTCGGAGTTATATGTGTGCAGTGTTGTGTGTGATCCTTTCTAAAAATCCTGATCGCGAAGCAACAATTCTTCGTTTGTGGTTTACGGCGTCGCGTGAATTCTTGCGCACGCTAAAATGTACATACGAGATACATTGTGCCGCGTACAAAGAACTATCGATTTTCAAGAGCGACCGGCACGTGTCCCAAATACCGGGGCACGTGCCGACTCGCTTCAGTTCCGAGAAACCGCAAGATGCGTTAGACAGAGAGAGACAGAGAGATTGCAGCCGCATTTGACGATTCAGTCGCACGCGCCTCTTGCGTTTGCACCGCGTGCACGTTACACGTATATAAATACGCCTGCGTATCGATCCCATACGCGCGATTTTTCGAGGTTGCCCTTCTCGCAGTCCGCCGTTGAAGGCAATCTTCCATCGATCTAATCCGTAATTACGTCGCTGAAAGAGCAACCCGGGAGTCACGGACACCTCGATAACGCAGAAAAGTTCCCCAGTCATTTTTCAGACGGGTAGGCCCTGCGATCAGCTACAGCCGTATATTCCCTCCGCCAGAGAGATGACATCTTTCATATAAATGCTATTAAAACTATTTATGTCGGATTACTGGTATTAATACTATGATACGATAATTT